GAGAGAGAGAGAGAGAGAGAGAGAGAGAGAGAGAGAGAGAGAGAGAGAGAGAGAGAGAGAGAGAGAGAGAGAGTAAAAGGGGTGTGAGATTTGTACGGAAATAGCGGGTAACAATTTGGGGGGGTGAGTGAAAGGGGATACGATTCATAAACTAGCAATTATCCACCTACTCTTGCACTAGAACTTGATTGTCCTTGGTTGGATTTTGATTCTATATCCTTTACTTTAAAATGTTTTTGTTTCAAAAAAAAAAAAAAATAGAAAAAATAGTTTCAAAATAAGGGGAGTGCAAGCTCTTAACTCTTAATTAGTCAGCACCAATTCCGGAATAATTCTGTTTGGAATGTTTCGAAACGGTATTCGGAAGCATCTCTCAAGTATTGACGGTTTGAGAGGATGTGCTTGATATAGTGGTGGCAATTTATCGAATGATAAATTCCACTGAGATAGGATCGCGGCTAGATTAAACGACAATTCCTCCTCTTTCTCTTGTTCCGGAGAGTGTGTGAGAGAGAGAGAGAGCCTCTTTCCACCGCAAAATTAAATATAGGGTCGAATTGCAGTTGTGGCTGCTGAGAAGATATAGGCTTCTTCACTATCTATCTATCTCTCTTTCGTTTTCGATGTTTCTTCTCCCTTTCTCATTTCATTGTCTCTCTTTCTCTCTCTCTCTCTCTTTTTGTTTCTGTTTCTCCTTGATTCACTATCTCTTTTCAACCCTCTGGTTACAATATCCCTTCCACCATTTCGACTATAGCCTTATCTGCCACCGCAGACTTTTCCTCTCCCCCTTTTACCAACCCCCTCGCGTCTCCTCGCCAAACACCTACTTTTCCACCCCTTGTATATATCTGGAAGCCACTCAGGCTGTGCCAACCCTCTGTATGGTGTAACGAACCACCCGCTATCTTGAAATGGGGTCGGTTTTTGGGCACGCATATTCCCTTTAGCTCAAGGGCTATCTTTCTTTTCATCCCTCTTCAATTTTTTTTCGACGCCATTCTACTTTTTTTTTTTTTGATATATTACATCGTATTGGGAAAAAGAAATATGCCATACTGGATTTTCCGAGGGATTTTCTTTAAATATATATTTATTTAGATAATGATAACATTGTTTCGATAAGGTATGTATAAATAGTAAAATCAGATTTAAGGGAGGGAAATAAATTTTTTTTTGAAAATATGTTATGATAAAACTTGATTTTTATTATCTTTATAGTTCTATATTTAAAAAATTGTAAAAAAAATTTTGCTCGTTATTTTTTTTTTATTATTTAAAATGTTACACGACTTTAAATAATAAAATATGAAAAACAATTGTCGGAGTAAGTTATCAATGTTTTTAGTGAATAGTAAATATTTATCAAACAAGCGATATTGTTATTTTTTAATGAAAAAAAAAAAAAATTCTGAAACAAAATTTACAATTATTAGAAGCGTTCAAATTTTAATCGAATCAACTGCTTAAGAAAATGAAGTTAAACCATCATTTTTTATTGCAAGTACTTTAATAAATTAATAATAAAAAATTATATTAATAATAATAAAAATATTAGTTGTAATAATAAAAATAATAATGATAATTATTAATATAAATTTAAATATTCATTATAACACACAATTACTATAATACTATACTAACTAATACTATACTAACTAATATTATACTAACTAAGAGTATACTAACTAATACTATACTAACTAGTAGTATCCTAACTAATACTATACTAACTAAAGTATCCTAACTAATACTATACTAACTAGAAATATCCTAACTAATAAGTATCCTAACTAATACTATACTAACTAGAAGTATCCTAATTAGTACCCTAACTAATACTATACTAATTAATAATATACTAACTGATACTATACTAACTAAGAGTATACTAACTAATACTATACTTACTAGTAGTATCTTAGCTAATAAGTATCCTAACTAATACTATACTACCTAATAAGTGTAGAAACTAATAAGTATCCTAACTAATACTATACTAACTAGAAGTATCCTAACTAATAAGTATCCTAACTAATACTATACTAACTAATAATATACTAACTAAGAGTATACTAACTAAAAGTGTACTAACTAATACTATACTACGTAAGAGTATACTAACTAAAAGTATTCTAACTAATGATATACTACGTAAGAGTATACTAACTAATAGTATGCTAACTAATACCATACTAACTAAAACTATTCTAACTAATAGTATACTAATTAATAGTATAGTAACTAATACTATACTATTAATATAAATTTAAACAATCATTATAACACAAAATAAAATCACATAACATTAAAAAAAAATTAATGTATATGCAAAATAATTAAGTACTGTTTTGTTTTCTAAAAAAAGCATTTATAAAACAAAAAAAGGTTTGGATATCTTAATTTTTAGTGTTAATTTGCTAAATAGGCTTCTTTGAAAAAAAATCGACATTACTACCTAATTAGAGGAAAGTGTATTAATGTCTAAGATAAAAACAGGTTAGACCTCTTTCGTGATTACGCGCTGTGATTAAACCAGGAAATACAAACGTTCGATCCAGAGATCCATGATTAACCTTGAAATTTTAGGTCAACCTCTCTAATAATTAAATAATAATAATTATTGTTATTATTATTATTATTATTGTTATCATTATTATTATTAAATTATTATTATTATAATTTTATTATTTTAATGTTGTTTTTTAATTTCTTAAAGGATTATCTGCATATGAATTTTGGAATAAAGAATTATTAGAAAATGACTATGGGGAAAGCATGAGAATGACAATACCGACAGATGTGAACCCTTGTAGTCTTTCAAGCTTGGATGAACACCCTCGACCCTTGTTTCAAGATTTAATTGCACTCGTGCCTTGGGAGTAACGGAAGTCAAAAAAAAAGAGAGAGAGCGAAAAAAAATAGGGGACGTTACTAGGAATTCTCACTTTTACTAATCCAAAATGAAAGAGAGAAAGAGAGAGAGAGTTGACTCTTTTTTTTTAAATGCACATGACGTTATATAATGCCATTTCATATGCGGTTTCATTTTACATTTACATCGGTAGGCAATGTTACAGGCCTCGAGAGAGAATACCTTCCACTCTCTTCTTCATTAACCGGTCCAAAATTAAAAGGCAATCTAAACTTTATTATTCTTATTCCCACGTTACAAAATATACTTGAATTATTTCCAACTGCTTTAAGATAAAATTAATGTCTATCAAACATTTATCACATAATTATAAATATTTACAACATTACATGCGATTATAGTAAAATAATTTATATATATTATTTTTTATTATATTTATTATTACCACAGAAAATTAAAAGGCATTAAAATAAGCTGCAACGCTTCTTATTTTAATCCATTTTGGTATTAAAATAAGCAAAATTGGATTAAAATAATAAGGCTTATTTTAATGCCTTTTAATTTTCTGTGACTATAATCTAAAATAAAGAATAGTTGTTTATTTTTGTCAAAAACAATTTTAGATTGTATTTTTTTACTATCACTATATTATTATTTATTATCGGTTTTTTATTTTAAATTCGTGAGAGATATAAAAAAGAACAAACGTCACGAATTTTTATTATTGTGAAAAGAAATTTTTTCATTGTTATTAAAAAATGTTGAAACTCAAATTTCTTATTCCTTCAGCTAAACACAATGTTGCGCGCACATATCCGCCATATTTGTAATAATCTCTCACCTGAGTTGCAAAAGTTTCTCCGCAAGAGCGCTAGTATCGCTATAACTAACGACTTTCGAAATAAAAAAAAATATTCTTACATTTATATTAAACCATTTTTTTTTTCTCATTGCAAAACATTTTATTCTAAAATAAAAATTTTTTCTCTCTTCGAAATAAGATCTTTTTTTTTTATGTAAACACCTCTCCCCTCCACCCCAAAAAGAGGAACTTCAATTTAGTTTTTTGTGGAAATGTTCCTTTGTCCTCGATCAAAGATCTTCCATGACCCGGAAGTGTAATAGATCACTGGTTATCTTGGAGAGAGTACAATTAGGCTGCTCGCGCCATCTCGACCCTGGAGGACAAATCCCTTTTATCTAGAAGGAAGACAGAGGAGTTTTCTTCGGTTCAACGTGTGTGTGTATATGTGTGGGAGTCCGAGAGGACTTTAGGGAGGGGGGGGGAAGGGGGGGAAGGAAAAAAAAAAAGAAGAGAGAGCCCGCGGAGGCAAGGAGAGATAGATTACTCCGCCATTCTTGCAATTTCCCTGTCGTATCGAGGCTCGTAAATTCCCAGTGAAATATGCGAAGGGGCGCCTGGTGCGGGCAGCACGTTGCTGCTGCTGCTGCTATACTCTCCACTCTCTCTCTCTCTCTCTCACCCCACCCACACCCTTATCCATAAGGGTTGGAAGCAAAGGGGGTATGTCTACCAGGGAACTGTACAGACTCTCGTATCGCTTCCAGGCAAGGCCCTCCAAACTCCCCTTTGCCCCCTTCCCCCCTTTACTCCCTCTATCAACCCTCTCGCTTCTACCTTCGCCTTAACCTCTTTACGTTTTTTTTTTTCCTTTATTTTTTTTTTACTCCTCTAATTGATGATAGCGACAAAAACGGGTTATCTATTCATGTCTTAAATTTCCCTGGATACTAGAAATAGCAATGAAACATGAAGAAAAAGTTTACCCCCCCCCCTCTCTCTCTCTCTTTTATAATATACAGCTCTTGGAATTTTTTGGAATCGTTATTCATTTTTTTTAACTTTATAACAACATGGAAGAATGTGAATTATGTTCATTGAATTTTATATAAAAATCCCGGTATATATAAGTAAAAAGTACAAAAATTGAGAAAGAAAAATCCTTTTTTTTGTTATTTAAAGAAATCATTTTCTTTTGTTTCTTTGATTTAAAGTTAATTTTTCTTTGATTCAAAAAAAAAAAATGTCTTTAAAAAAATTTGTTACAAAACAAGTATCTTTGTTTCAAAATATTCATTTTTAAATTAAAGAATTATTTTTTTTTTTTTGAATGTGCTGGAATTTTTTTTGATTTAAAGAACAAATTTCTTGGATTCAAAGAAAAAATTTAATTTAAATCAAAGCAAATTTTTGTTTGAGTAAAAAAACCCCTTTTTTGTGTCAAAGAAAAAATTTTGTTTTGAATGAAAAAAAGGAAAGGAAATGTTTTTTTTTAAATCAACAAAAAAATTATTCGAACTGTATATGTTGTTATTTTATTTAAATAATAATATTTCACTGATTTTTTTTTTTTTTCGCTTCGATGTTAGTTAAAACTAGTTTCATGCGTGGCACAAAATAGTTGAATGGAAATATTTGATAAACAAATGTGTAAAGTGTTTATTCAGCTTTATTAAAAGTTTCGTAATTCACATTTAAAAGTAACATTTGAAAGATAATTTTCTATTATAAAAAAAGAATCCACACTTATTGTTAATCAAATCAAGTTCAACTGTCGTAGTGTGTTAAGTAGTGAAAAAAAAAAATTATTTTAACCTCTATATTAAAATAATCATAATAATAATAATTTATAATAATAATTTATAATAATAATCTTTAATAATAATTTATGATAATTTAAAAATAATAATTAATAATATTTTTAATTTCACTATATAATAAAAATTTGAGCAATAAAATAATGAAAAGTAAAAATTCCCTGTAAGTATATATAAAAAAAAAATTAAATAGTGTAAAATTGTTAATTTTTATTTTATGTAAATTAAAAATTAATATAACAATAATTAAAATTTTTAAAAATGTTTTAAAATAATTTTTTAGACCTTTTATCATTTGGATATTGTCAATTTGTAAATACAATGTAATAATTAATGCAGAAAAAATTGACGATAATAATGGGACAGTTCAAACAACAAACAATAATTATAGTGTCTGTAATAGTACAATATGTAAAAATGCTGGTAAGTGTATTTTAAGTTCAATTTATTTTTTATAATTTAAATATATTTTTTAAAATATTGAATTCTTGAAATTAAATTATTTTTTTTTTGTAATATCAATAAAATTATGAAAATAAATATAAAAACACTTCGTTCTTGATAATACACAAATATTTGTACAATTGTTACGATCAAAGCGTGATACAATTTTACAAACTTTAACAATAAAAGTAGAATATTACAATTATATAGTATTTCAAAAATAGAAAATTAGAATTAAAAAAATTAACAATTATTAAATATATAAAAAAATTTTTCTCTTTTCTAGCTGAACTAATAATTAAAGGAAGAAATGAATCAGTTGAACCTTGTAATGATTTTTATTCCTACGTTTGCAGTAATTGGTCAACTAATTATCCAATATCTGATAATTTGAAATTTATCAATTTACACACTATGACCGTAAATAAATTTAAACCAATCATAAAAGGTAGGGAAAATTTGTTTTTTTTTTTAAATCTAAAAATTTTTTTTACCCATAATCACAAAAAAATAATAATTATTTTTTTCATTTTAGAAATACTACAAAAACGAATTGATCAAAATGATAGTTTAAATTTACGTTATGAAAAAAAATGGTTTCAATCGTGTAACAATGAAGGTTAATATAATTTCTCAATTTTTTTTGAAATATTTTTAAAAAAATGCTAAATAAAAAAAAAAATTTTTTTAAATTATTGTATTCTTTTTCTAAAATAGAAAGAATTTTAAACATTGGACAAAATCTATTAATAAATATAACAGAAAAAATTGGTGGTATACCAATGGCAATGGATTTTGGGGATTTTTCAGTATGGTTAGAAAAGCATATTACTTGGCAAAATGTGAATAATTATTATACACGACTTATTGGAGAAAGTGTATTTTTTAAACTTGAATTAAGTCCCAATGGCAAGGACTTCAAATATTTTGTAAGAAATAAATTATTAATTTTCAACAAAATATTTATTTATCATACGAAAAAAAAATATATATTTTATAATAATTTTTTTTTTTAAATAATTTAATAGTAATGAAAATAAAAATTCTAATATTTTAATTACAACATATTGTCGTGTATAATTTTTAGATAAGTAAACCATCAACTAATGACATTGATGATAAGTCAAAAATAATTTTCAATTATTTTACTGAAAAAGGTAAATTAAATATTTCTTGGATAGATTTAGAGGAAGTTCTAACTTTTCATAAAAAATTGAATATGGTAATTTAATTTCAATTTTAAAGAAAATATAAATTTCTCTTTTCAATATCAAGGTAAACAAAAAATAATAACTAATTTATTTTATTTTTTGTTTTATTTTTTCAGGCAATTGACGATGAAACTAGTAGAGTAGAACAGGAGATGACAATTGAAAAATTTCAAGAAAAATATAACATAAAATGTCCCCGACATTCAAATGGAAGAGTAAGAATTTGCAAAAAAAAAAAAAAAAAATTTTTTTAATATTTTTTTAAAAATATTTATATAAAGAAAATAATTTATTTAATCTAAGTGTAAAAATAATTTATATTATAATTAATTATTTTCATTTTAGATGAATTTCTCAAAAACATTTTCTATTTTACTTAAGGAAATGAAATTGTCAAAAAATGAAACCATTCAAATTCATTCATTGTATTTTATTATGAATTTGTGTTATCTTTTTAAACACACTTCTTCAAGAATAATTGGTACAATTTTTTTGTAATTATTATTAATATTAAAAAAAAAAAAAAGTAATAAATTTTATTTTCTTGTTTCGAAAACTTTTGCATAAAATAAAATAATAATGAAAAGAATCTATTTTTATTTCTAGTTAATTATATTCATTGGAGATTTTTAGTCGATTCATTTGATTATTGGTATGTTAAGAAAGATTTGTTGTCCAATAAAAGCAGGTATTTAATTAATAATATTGTATTACCAATTTTTGTAACTTTAAATTTTATTATTTTTACATTAAAATATTGAAATTTTAACTATTTTTTTTTTTAAATTAATTAATCAGATCAGATGAATGCTTATCGTTATTGCTCTTAAAAAAAGGACATATCACGGAACTTTTTACTAATTATCTACCAAAAAATACAATGGATCTTGTAAGTTGTATACTTTACTGTAAATAATGCAAAAAAAAAGAATTTGACATGTTCAATTTTCTAAAAATTGAAAATACGATTTTTTACTTTTTACTTGTAATTTTTGTAATTTACATTTTCAGACTAACTCTATGTTTTACAATATACGCGTATATTTATATACAAAATTATTAAATTCACAATGGCTAAATACAAAAGATCTTTTTATGAATTACAAATTAGCAAACATGAAATTTTTAATTTCTAATAATTATAATAAAGATATGATCTTAAATGAAGAAACTGAATTTTCAAATTATACCGTAAGTACATACATCATATTATAAATTTACAATTCGAAACAAAAATGCAGATATTCTAAATATGAAAATTTTTTTTCACACAGTTTAAAATTACTTCAAATTTTTTACAAAATTGGATAAATTTTAAAAAAAGTAATCTATTAAATATAAAACAACAGTTTGAAGAGGCTAAAAAACATAAGTGAGTATTATTAATACTGATATATGAACAATTATAATTTATAAAATTTGATTTATTTAAATATTTTCACAGTATTAAAAAACGGAGCATCTATTTTCCATCAAAGAATTTACTTAGTAAGTCAAATATTCACAATATAAATTAATTTGATCAACAAAATAATTATTTTAGTTATGTACTTACGGTTAATTCAAAACTTATATTTATTTTTTTTTTGCATTCTTTTTATAGAAATCTCATTTGCAGAGGTGGCTTCACTTTTGTTTAATGAAGAATTACCAAAGTAAGTATATTTTATTATTTATTAAACCTAAAAGGATAATAAAAAAAAATGAATAATACTTAAACTGATCATTTTCCAATAAATAAAAAATTATTTCTTTTCAGTGCCACTAATTATGGAAATTTAGGTTTTAACATCGGACATGGAATGGCTCGAGCATTTGGCAGATTGAGTATAAATAAAACGTTTTATAAACACTATTGATACGATAACAAATTAATAATTATAATTTAATTTTTTTCTTTGCATTAAGGTCGAAAAAATGACGAGATTATGGAACCTGGAAAATGGACGAAGGAAATGATTAAAAATCAAATGGAGAAACTTAAATGTTTTGAAAATGATTTTATGAATGACTCGGTATGTATAGAATATATTATTAAAATAATATTCTATTATCGTTTCTAAGGAAAAAAAAATCCTTAGCAACGGTTGTTAAGGAAAAAAAAGATCATGGAATCGATTTGTGCTATGGAAATGATTAGTAATAAAAAAAAAAAAATAAATAAAAATTAGAAAAGTGCATATAATAAACTTTCATATATTGCAGATATACAAAAATATAATAACAGAAAGTAATTTTGTTGATTCCGTTGGATTAAATATTGCTTTTGAAACTTATCAAAATTACATTAATGATAATAAAATTATTGATCCAAAATTACCAGGACTAGAAGATTTTAATGATAATAAATTATTTTTCACCTCCTTTGCTATGGTGAGAGAAAGTTAATAAAAAAAGCTTTTTTCAATTACATCTCAATTTACTGAATAAGAAAAAAATTTTTTTTTTTTGAAATTTTTAGAATTTCTGTGAAAACATCACACCAGAGGCAGCAAATGAACGTAATGAGATTTCATCAACTTCTGACAGAGTCAATTTAGCTGTCAGCAATTCAGATGGTTTCGCCGATACCTTTAATTGCAAAGAAGGTGATATTTTATGGAAGAAAGAAAAATGCGCATTTTTTTAAATTGATAAACTATTTTTTTTAAAGGTATTTAAAAAAATTATGATAATTTCACGCATCTATTGTAATTAATATATTACCGTAATATTAAGTAAACTATTATTAATATATTAATATTATAATTAAATTATTATTTATATATTAATATTACTAGTAATTAATATTAGTTCACTATTATTAGCATTAAAAAAAATTTATTTTACCTCACATTTAAATTTATTTAATACTGTTTACTGTAAATAAAAATTATTTGATTCAAGAAAATTTTATTTCCGACGCGACGTTATTGTCAATATTTTTTTTTAATTTAGTTTTTTTAATTAACGTAAAATTAATTAATGAAAGAATAATTGATATTCACAGTTAGAGAAAATAAAAATTGTTTTTTAAATTTTATTTCAAACGCCTATTGTCCATGCGACATATATTAAATGTATATATAATGATAAATAAATGATGGAAATTAAAGGTAGAAAATAATAAGAAAAAGTAAATTTAAAATGAATGCGAATTTAGTGAGGGTTGAGTGAAGTTGGTATATTATTGAAGGTATAACTGTATACGCAGTGTACATGGAGAATACATAAAATGGAAGGGAACCCCCGTGTGCGATGACTCTCTCTCTCTCTTTTTTTCTCTCTATCTCTCTTTCTCTACCTATATCTACACAGTAGCGTACCGCGGCCGCCACGCCGCGCCGGTCGGTTTAATTTAACACAGCAGCTGTAATCCCATCCATTACACTGGCGGTAATATACGATCGCTCGAGATTCATACTCCGTTTTTTCACTAATTAACAGACGGGACAAATCGCTCTACCAATCCCTCTCGTTCCTCATGAACCCCATCGCTTCTTTACGCCTCACACGAAAAAAAAAAAAAAAAATACATCCCCAATATGTCGCGCACGTTCATATCTTGATGGACAATTACTCAATATACTAATTATTATACTTTTAATTTCTTTTTTATAAAAAAATATTTCATTCTACCTAATTTAATAATTATACAAAGTATAATAATTTTATTCAGTGCAATTTTAAATTATTATTATTATTTTTATTATTATTCTATCCTACAATGGAAAAACATATCTAAGTACATACATATGTTTTTCCCTTGTAGGGTAGTATAATTGTTAATATTGTAAAAATTTAAAATGATAAATTTTTATTTTCTACATAATAATAATTATACTTAATGTAATTTTAAATTATTATTATTTTTCCCTACAACTTAAAAGTAATGTAACGAATTAATTTGTTACTTGGCTCTTTATTATACTATTAGCTGCCCTTCCAAGTGGGTTTTCCAATTAATCCATAATTTAAATTTGAATGATTTTCCCGCGCCATTGCCAACTTAAGGTATTCTTGAGTGGTACGCGTGATAGACTATAGCAGACGACAAAAGCATATGTGAAATATTAGCCTTCAGAGAGAGAATAGCGTTCTCGACAATAAGTCAATTTTTGATACAATGTAAAAGATTTTTATTTTATTTAATCTTCGCATAAAAAACATTCGAAATAGCGATGTAAATTGTATTTCAACTAATAAATATAGTGAGTTTATATAAAATAGCGCATTATTAATCAATCCAGCGAATCAAAATTGGTTATATATCTTTATTTTTATTGCATATAAGTATCTCTGAACTGTCATATTAAGAATAACTAATAGTTATGATTGTTGATCTAGACTAAATTTTCTTTTTCTTGTAACCCCAGTATGAGACAAATTTTTCCCCTTAACAAAAATTTCTTATACTCGGTTCCTTGCAGTACATACATTTTACGTATATTTTTCCCTTGTAGAGCAGTATTATTATTATTCTGCCCTACAAGAAAAAAACATATTTAAGTACATACGTTTTTACCTTGTACAATAGTATACAAAGTGATTTTTATGTTCCGGACCCATTAAATTTTTTTTTATTCTCATTTTTTTCCGTTTTTTTTTTAAACAAAAATAATGGAATTAAAAAAAATTTTTACGGGGTCCGGAACATAAAAATCTGTCTGTATAATTATTTTTTTTTTCTAAAAATAATAAAATTCGTTTTATGTTCAATATATCTTAATTTTCGATTTACTTACATCATGAAAATCTGCGAAAGTAATTATTTCATCAAAGACTCGCTTACCTGTAAACAAAAAAAAGAAAGTGTTGATTAGTAAACATTAATAAATATCACATAAACTTTTACATAATTTTTATATATAGGATTTAAATTAGCGTTGGTGTTTTATCGACGATTGATGACAATATATATATATGTCATTATTTAATCAAGAGGAGGTAAAATTTTTAATTTATCGATGATGCGAGCTTGACAGTAAAATAAGATCGTATTTTCAGAGAATTTATCACCAGATAATAATAATAATAATAATAAAAATATATTCGAATGCGATTGGTGAATAAATGCGACAAGTCCAAAAAGTAACATAGCCAAAACCACTTCCGTGCTCATAATTCACGTCTCGACAAGAGTCGATGCTCTTAAAAAAGAGAGAGAAAAAAAAAAATTTTTTTGTATTTGAGAAATCAATTCATTAACAGCTTTTGAGATTTCGTATCGGATTTTAAAGAATGCTTCATGTTTTATTTTAAACAGGATCTTTATTTTCAACAAAAATTATTTCCAAGAGAAATTTTTAATAAAAAAAAAATTAAATTTACTAAAATACTTTTTCTAAATCAGTTACTGTTTTAAAAAATATAATTTGGTAACAAATAATTTCTAAAATGATTTATTTGTAAATTTTTTTTTTAATAAATTCCTAAAATTAGTTTGCCTAAAAATGTTGCGTTCGAAAAATATTGTTTTTTTTGTAAATATATCGGTACAAATAGGAATGTTGTAAGAAGATTGTGACTCGTCAACAATAAAATATAAACAAGAATTTCACACACGCGAATAAATTTCACGCAGTCATGAGTAGTGAAAAAGTAGATATAGCATTTATTTTCTTCGACCCACGTAAAATTTCTACTTGAGAGAGTTTATATATAGGCGTGGCGAGTATATATATACATATAAACATAATCAAGGTTATGCAAACCAGTTAAATGGATAATATAATTTGTCCATATCCCAGTAAAATCGATTGGTCATTTATTCTTTCCGATATTACAAATTGCGATATAAAACAAATTAGTCATTGATAGACAAATGACATTCTATTTTTGATAAAATTAACTATATACCAGTAGTGAATTCTGCCAGGATATATTTTACAGAAAAATTAAAAAATATGCTAAATATAATTTCAAAAAGAAAAAAAAAATTCAAAAGCAATTTTTAAACATCAAAAAGATCTCATAAATAATCATGTAAAAGGAAATATGAAAAGTTTGCTTTGATCAAAATTTTATGACATGGAAAAACAAACGTCGCCACTGCTTTTTGAATGTTCACATATATATATGTATATAATATCCACAAGTTTTGCTCCCGGTGTTTTAAGTACATATATATATATATATATACTCAATGTTATGTTGAAGAGGAATAAGAACGTTCATTCTACCTTCTTCATGCGCGCTCGCAAGCCGCGTGAAATTAATTAGTTAATTAAGCACCGTGTGATGGTGTCCATCCAATTAAATCCCCCTTGCCATGTCTCACGAGAGTGCGCAAACGCGACATTCGAGCGGCTCGCGTTTATACCAAGAACTGCCAACTTCCCATTCCTCTCAAACCCTCCCCCCCTCAAGCCACCACCCTACGTCACTCCCTTAACAAAACCACATTAACTTTACCGATCCTTGTGTTCTGTGGTATTTCACAGTATAACAATTCATATTGTAAGTTTTATTTTGACAGAAATTTTTTAAGGAAAATTTATTTTTTATGAAGAAAAATTTTCTTTTTCTAATCTATTTTACAAAAGGGAAAATTTTTCTTAGGAAAGTTCATCAATTTTACTTGAAACAACCCCCATTATTCCCCTCTACGTAAGCTTGCAGCAACCTTGCGGCAAGCTTTCCGCACAGTATTGCCAACCTTGCACGGCAAACTTGCCGCAAGCTTCTAATGTCGCACCTAACCTAAGCTTGTATGGTAAGCTTTCCGAAATATTGCAGTGTAAGGTTGCTGCAAGATTGCTCAGTAAGCTTGCACGATAAACTTGTAGCAAGATTGGTGCAACGTTACCAAATAACCTTCCTTTGAACCTATAAAAATTTTTTTTTTTACTGTTTCATCTAATTTATATAATGTTTTTTTTAGGTTTAAAGCAAGGTTATTTGGTAACCTTGCACCAACCTTGCTACAAGCTTACTGAGCAATCTTGCGATAATCTTATTGTGCAATCTTGCAGCAACCCTATACTGCAATCTTTCGGTAAGCTTACCATGCAAGCTTTGGTTTAGGTGGGATATTTGAAGCTTGCGGCAAGTTTTTCGTGCAAGGTTGGCAATATTGCGCGGCAGTAAGGTTGCTGCAAGATTGCTCAGTAAGCTTGCACGATAAGCTTGTAGCAAGGTTGGTGCAACGTTACCAAATAACCGTCCTTTGAACCTATAAAAAAAATTTTTTTTTACTGTTTCGTCTAATTTATATAATGATTTTTTAGGTTTAAAGCAAGGTTATTTGGTAACCTTACACCAACCTTGCTACAAGCTTACTGAGCAATCTTGCGATAATCTTATTGTGCAATCTTGCAGCAACCCTATACTGCACTCTTTCGGTAAGCTTACCATGCAAGCTTTGGTTTAGGTGGGATATTTGAAGCTTGCGGCAAGTTTTTCGTGCAAGGTTGGCAATATTGCGCGGCAAGCTTACCGCAAAGTTGGAAATGTTGCGCGGCAAGGTTGCTGCAAGCTGGGTAGTTACTCAGATCTTTTTTTAGGATCACTCATCGCGAATCTAAATATACATTTTTCCGCTTTAGGTCAGTAATAATTTTTTCGTAATTTTTATTTACAAAAAAATTTTTATTATGCACCGTAATAAAAAACTAAATGAATGAAAATGACCCAAAAAAAAGGCAAACTAAAAATCCTTTGCAATCTGGCACGTGACCAAGTTTCATATCCACATTATCCCTAATTTATCAGGAATAAAGTCCAACTCTACAATTATTCGAATTAAAAGGCTTTATTCAAGAGCGATCACCTTGATAAACGAAGAAGCGAAGAAGAAGAGGAATATATATATATAAGCCTTAGATCCAGAAGTGCGGAACATCCATTATCGTGAAGACACCACGGGAATAAAAATTTGCATTCTATAAAATGTACGATCGGTCCATAGCAGGGCGGAAGAAGAAGTTGCTTGCTCAGCAGGTTGCTAGGTAAGGGTCCAACTGAGAGTAGAGGGACAAGGAAAGAAGAATCGAGGATCTTCTTTTTTTCAAAAAAAAAAAAAAAAAAAAAACCGAATAGAAAATCGTGATGTAGGGAAACAAATCAACTCGTCCGTTGGCTCGCTCGAGTTTTTAGTGGCGAGGCTCCAAATATTTGCTTTGCTCGCCGGGAGTCAGATTCAGCTCAAGACGGATATAGTATATGTATGTAATAGTATAATATACACACAATCCTACTAGCGAAGAGATGAAAAAAGGACACAGGGAAAGAGAAAGAAGAAGAAGAAGAAGAAGAAAGAGAGATGGAAATATCGGTGTATACAAGGGCCAAGAACCCACACCACCATTCTTTAGTAAAAGTCAACTATACTCTTGGTATCGTTGCTTCTTCGAGTGGCACTTCTCTCTCTTTCTCTTTCTTTTTCTCTTGGACTTTTTCCGCTTGCAAACTCTCGATGTTGGAATCTCGCGAAAAGAGGTATCTCTGCCAAGAATTGTCTGAAAGATCCTTCATCATGCGCATTATTATACGAATGCTGCAACATTCTCACATATAAATTGTGCAAAAAGAGAAATTTATGCCCTTGATATAAAAAAAAAAAAGAAACAAATTCTAACCAATTCCATGTAAATAATCCAAAAAATATGATGCTTTTCTTAAAGATATCAAATTGTTACTAATCATGTTTTGATCCAATTGGTATTGATACCAGATGTTAACTGATGTTTGCTTTCGGATCTAT